GTACTACTACTACTACTACTACTACTACTACTACTGCTGCTGCTGCTGCTGCTGCTGCAGCTGCTGTTACTACTACTACTACTACTACTACTACTACTACTACTACTACTACTACTACCTACCTGCCTACCTACCTACCGACCGACCGACCGACCGACCGACCGACCGACCGACCTACCTACCTACCTACCTACCTACCTACCTACCTACCTACTACTACGACTACTACGACTACTACCACTACCACTACTACTACTACTACTACTACTACTACTACTACTACTACTACTACTACTACTACTACTACTACGACCGCTACTACCACTACTACTACTACCACGACTGCTAGTTCTACTACTACTACTACTACTGCTGCTGCTACTGCTACTACTACTACTACTACTACTACTACAGTCCGTGCTACTCCAACGACTACGAATACGACTACTACTACGGCTACAGCTACCACAAGTACTATTACTACTACTACTGCTACTACTGCTACTGCTACTACTACTACTACTACTACTACCACTACCACTACTACTACTACTACTACTACTACTACTACTACTACTACTACGACTACTACTACTACTACTTCGAATACTACTACGAATACTACTGCCGCTACTACTACTACTACTACTACTAATACGACTACAGTGGACACTACCCCTACTACTACTACTGCTACGACTACTGCTACTACCACTACTACTACTACGACTACTTCTACTTCCACTGCTACTGCTAGCGCTACTGCTACTACTACTACTACTACTACTACTACTACTGCTACTACTGCTTCTACTACTACGACTAATACTACTACTGCTACTAATACTACTGCTACGATTACTACTACTACTACTACTACTACTACTACTACTACTACTACTACTACGACTACGACTACTACTGCTACTACGACTACTACTGCTACTACTACTACTACTACTACGAATCCGACTACTACGATTACTACTGCAAGTGGTAGCAATAGTACCACTACGACTACTGCTACTGCTACTGCTACGACTATAACCACAGCTACTACGACGACGGCGACGACAACGACTACTGCTACTACTGCGACTACTGCTACTACTGTTACTACGACTACAGCTACTGCAGCTACTACTACTACTACTACTACTACTACTACTACTACTACAACTACAACTACGACTACTGCTACTACTACGACTGCTACTACTACTTCTACGACTCCTACTACGACGACTGAAACTACGACGACGGCTACTACTACGACTGCTACTAGTACTACAACGGTTACTGCTACTATTGTTACGACTACTACGATTACTGCTACTTCTACGGCTACTACTATTACTACTAATACGACCACGACTACTACTACAACTACTACTACTACTACCACTACTACTACTAGAACACTACTACTACTACTACTACTACTACTACTACTACTACCACTACCACTACTACTACTACTACTACTACTACTACTACTACTACTACTACTACTACGACTACTACTACTATTACTACGACTACTACTACTACTACTACTACTAGTACTAGTACTAGTACTACTAACACTGCTACTACTACTACTACTACTACTACTACTACTACTACTGTTGATGCTGCTGCTGGTGCTGCTGCATCGCCTAATACTACTACAGCTAGTACCACAACTACTACGACAACTGCTCGTACGAACTATGATAATAATAATACGACTCCTCCTCCTCGTCCTCCTTATCATTCTCCTCCTCCTCTTCCTCCTCCGCCTCTGCCTCCACCTCCGCCTCCGCCTCGGCCGTGTCCTCGTCCTCCTCCTCCGCCTCCGCATCCGTTTCCTCCTCCTCCTCCTCCTCCTCCTCCTCTTCCTCCTCCTCATCCTGCCCCTCATTCCACTCCTCCTCCTCCTCCTCCTCCTCCTCCTCGTCCCTCCTCTTCCTCCTCTTCCTCCTCATCGTCCTCCTCCTCCATTCGTGTTCCCTAAGATTCCTTCTCCGTGTCGCACCCCGAAGCTACCCGAAAGTGCGGGCCAAGTGTTTCGCAAAATGTGGCTCTGGCCTCAGCGCCGCGCACAGTCGTTTGCAAAAACTGCAGGAGGAGCTTCACCCATTGAAAGCGGGTGGTTTTCAAAATGTGGACCTCGCCCTAGCGCCGCGCACATACGCTACAATAAATTGCAAGAGCTTCACGAATTGAGGGCGGGTGGTTTTCCAAATGTGGCTCTCGCCCTAGCGCCGCGCACAGTCGCTTGCAAAAATTGCACGGGCTTCACGGATTGAGGGCGGGTCGCTTTCAAAATGTGGCTCCTCGCCTGAGCGCCGCGCACACTCGATCTTTTAATGCAAGAATTTCACAGATTGAAGGCGGGTGGTTTTCAACATGTGACTCTCGCCTCAGCGCCGCGCGCATTCGTCAAACATTTGCAACAGCTCCACGTTCAGAGGGCGGCTGGTTTTCAAAATGTGGCTCTCGCCTTAGCGCCGCGTGCACTCGTCTTAAGAACCCGCAAGAATTTCACGCATTGAGGGCGGCTCCGTTTCAAAATGTGGTTATCGCCTTCGCGCCGCGCACATGCGTTGTAAAAAATGCAAGAGCTTCACGGATTCCCATGGCCAACGTACCAGACATGGTGTGTTGGAGGGATTCAAAATTGTGAGGGCGCAACAGTTACGTTGATTTGCGGTGTTGAAATCCCAGGAATGGTGTTCTGGCAAGATTCAAGATCTTCAAGACGCAACAGTTAGCTTGATCCGTGGCGTTGGAATCCCGAGAGTGCTGTTTTGACATGCTTCAGGTTTTCAAACGGTTGTCTCCCGACGAGGCAGTTCCCTCAGTGGAATGAACCCTTGTAGGTGCATATGAAGAAGGAGCTCGGAGGGAGGCTTTATTCCAACATCGTTGATGAGCCTTGTGTTTACACTGGTACTCCTCCTCCTCCTCCTCCACCTCCTCCCTTCCTCCTCCCCATTGGCCTTCACTGCCCTGATGTGGCAAGCGTATCTCCTCGCCCTGCTCCTCCTCCTTCTCCTCCGAATAAGCGCTCAGCTAGAATCCTTCGCCAGAATCCTCCTCCTCCCCAGTGGGGGGAGGGGAGGTGGAGGGGGAATTGGTGGTCGTGACGGGCCACCCCCCCGATCACCGCCATGGTGAAGGCCTCGTGTTTCTTCCCAGACTGAAGCATGAACACCAGGTTTGCCGCGAAGTTCGCGAATCTCAGCTTTCTCTCGCTGGTGGAGTTGTACGCCAGCGGCTTGTACTTCTCCATGTACTCTTTGAACCCGGCAGTAAATTTCGGATAGTCGTAAAGCGTCGCGCATGGAGACTCCGTGGTGTCGGGGAACCTTTTCTTGTAATACGTCTTACCCGTGCATGCCCGGAGTGACTATGCGCGTGAGGTTCGTGGCTGCCCCATTTCCCCTGACCCCTCTCCGACGATCCGCACTGATTGGTCCCAAGACGTAATCGTTTGTTTTTTGTTTCAAAAATGTGTTAGCCAGCGTGTATCCCAAACAGTGAATGATTGCATTGTGGAGGTGGAAGCTATGTGGTGGAAGGCATGCTGGGCAAGCTGCGCGGTGTGAGCCACGTGGTGCAAGCAATGTGGCTGGAGCTATGTGGCGCAAGCTGTGGCTTGTGGGCTATGTGCTGTAAGCTACGAGGTGCTAGCTACGCGATGCACGATATGGCGTGGAGGCTTGCGGTGCGACTCGTGCGGTGCGAGCCATGCTGTGCGAGAGATGTCGCGCAAGCTGTGGTGAAAGCCCACGGGGCGCCCGAGAGGCGCACGCGAGCGGGCACCGGGCGCTCGGGCGGCGAAGCCTCGGGGGGAGCCCCGCCCCGCGCACGGGGGCGCCCACGAGGCGCCCACGAGCGGGCACCGGGGCGCCGGGGCGGCGAAGACGCAGGAGACAAACCCGGAGCAGGGGGGCGGTCAAGAGAGGCGCCCGCGAGCGGGCACGGGTCGCCAGCGTGGCGGAAGACCCTGGGGAACCCTTCCGATCGCTTCAGCAGCACGATGAGCAAAAACGCGATCAGAGAACCAAAACAAAAAAGTGTGCAAGCACTGCTTGGGGAAGCACAAAAAAAACGCTGCGCGATTAGCACCGCGACGTGAGACAAGAGACCGCATGACAAGCCGAGAACGCCTCACGAGGCGTCGCCAACAGCGAGCGCGCAAGTGGAGAAACGAGAAAGAGCAAGGAACATAGCGGACGGCGGGCCAGACATCCTCAAGGGCCAGAGGAATGGCGCAAGCCACCAGGAAACTTGTCGAAAGACGCGCACACCTTCTCGTAGTACAGCGCAGAGGCGTTACGGGCAGTCTCGTTCTCTCCAGAATCGGGATCGGGCAGGCTGTCGTATGACTCGTCTGAGCCCCCTGGGGCAAGGAGGAGCAGAGGAAGAACGAACAGGAGGAGGAGGGCGACGGGCGGGTGGAGCAGCAGGAGGAGAGGTAGGGGGAGGGGGAGGGGAAGGAGAGGGAGGAAGGGGGAGCTGCAGAACGTTGGTGACGAAGCCGCCGGCCTCCCTGGGCTACAAAATAATGAGGGGCAGGGTGAAGGAAGGAGAGGGGGGTGGAAGGAGGAGGAGGAGGAGAAGGAGGATGGAAGAAGAGGACGACGACGACGATGACGAGGGCCAAAAGAAGAAGAGAGGAGGAGGAGGAGGAGGAGGAGGAGGAGGGAGGATGAGGAGGGGAGGAGGTGGAGGAGGACAAAGAGGAGGGAGGAGGACCAAAACCAGAAGAAGAAGAAGAAGAAGAATGATAATAAGAATACGAGAAATAAGGACAAGAAAAAGAGAGAAGAAGGATATGAATGAGGAGTGAGGGGGATCGGAGGAAGGAGGAGGAGGATCAGAAGAACGAGGAGGGAGGAGGAGGAGGAGGGATCAGGTAAGATGGAGGACGATGGAGGACGATGGAGGACGATGGAGGAGGGACGAGGGTGGAGGCTGGAGAAGGTGGAGGAAGGGAGTGAGGAGGGCAAGGAGAAGGAAGGAGGGAGGAGCCTGAGGATGGGGGATGGAGGGGGGCGGAGGGGGGCGGGGCGGGTGGTGGATGAAGGATGGTGGGCCGTCTTGCACCTCGCGCCCTGGCACAAGCCCGCCAGCCACTGGCGGTCGCACGTCGTACCCAGGGCGTCTTGCCCCTGCCAGGCCCCTCGGTCAGTTGGCCGACCGGATGCTCCGTCGGAAGCATCGACATCCACGAATGCTGGAGTCCTGCTCCGAGGCCCCAGGGCCCCAGGCTGGGGGCAGGCCAGAGGGAGGGGGAGAGGAGTCAGAGGAGGGAGCGGGGGAGGGACGATGAGACCGGGCAGCTCTCAAGCTGTAAGTACGCAGCTCTTCCTACCTGGCTCTGGAACATGCCGAAAGACTTCTAGATTCGAAACTCGGCGGCTTGAGCCGAGGCTCGAGCCTGGGGACGAAGACGACGAAGAAGACGAAGACGAAGGCGACGTCGTCGTCGACGACGACGACGACGACGGCGGCGGCGGCGGCGACGGCGGCGGCGGAGGCGGCGGCGGCGACGACGGCGACAACTTCGACGAGCACGGGCCACCTTCCAGCGAGCCCGGTGCCGCAGCCGCGTCGGGCAGTGGCTCCTGGCGGCTCCTACCTCCTCTCTCTCCAGCCTCCTCCATCCTCCTTCTCCTCCTCCTCCTCCTCCTCCTCCTCCTCCTCCTCCTCCTCCTCCGCCTCCTCCTCCGCCTCCGCCTCCTCCTCCGCCTCCGCCTCCGCCTCCTCCTCCGCCTCCGCCTCCGCCTCCTCC